TCTGGGACACTTTGGGCCTAAAAGCTTGAAGGTTGTGGAGCAGAAGGAAAAGGGTGCTGAACTTACGATGTTGTTTTTCTATCGGTAAGTTCATGACAGTATGGGGAAGGAAAAATGGGGAGAGAATCAGTTCAGGTAGCACAAGTTTCCTGTTGGATTCTAGGTTTCACATCTGATGTGAGGAATGGCCACTGGGACCCAGTTAATGAAGTGACACACTATGGTCAGCTCTCCAGCCCTGGCTGCCTGCTGCTGTTTCCTAAGCTTCCTTCCTGAAAAAGGCAACCACTTCATCCCCCATAGCAGGCTTAAAATTAACTGTAGGGGTTCACTATGAAATTCCTGTGCCACTGGCACGTTATCACCCCCTCCTTTCTCCCTGAGATTAGTGGTCAGCTTATATTGCTTTCTGAGAAAGAAAATCAGCTCTAAAATGATGCAACTTGATGGAGAGCAATGTTTCATTTAAGTAAACACAGCATCACCACTAAGTAAGGGAATAAAAATATCATTTTAAAAATCAAACATTTAAGTTATAAATGAATAGACATTTGATGACATGTCCAGTTGGATAGGAGTTGAAGGGGGGAAGGTGAGGTGTGTCACAGTTTGTTCCGTCTCTAATCTCTGTGCTGTGGACACCACAGAAAGCTGGCATCCTGACACAGTGGAGCGCTCTGCAACAATGCTATTAAGGAAAGACAGGTTGGAGTCTGGTAGTTAATTAGACCTGTATTCTTTCCTTTCCTTTTCATTTATTTTATTTTAAATAACTGAATTTGGATTTTTCATAAAGGAAAGGCACTTTCAGATTTCCTAAGTTTTGCTTTCTGAAGGGAAAGTGTGCCAATGAAGTTGTAAATTGAGAGCTGGGATTTCTCTAGGTTTCTAATAATGATTTAGTGGATACCTGCTGAATACATCAGGGCTGTCGGTTCCCTTGCCTGCTGGCTAATGAGTCCAAAGTCTCTGAAGTTGAGACAAGAGTTGCTTCAGGTGCACAGACTGTATTCTGATTGGTTTAATATCCATCATGGTAAAGCCATATTTATTGCCAGCAACTACTTCATTCATGCATATGGACCAGGATTCTAGGAAATGAGGCAAGAGTGACAACTTCCCTTACCACCTCTGAGAAGGTTCCTTTAATCCCTAGAGAGATCCACAGGGAGGAAGCAGTTTCTTTTATCTCTAGAAATAGTGGTGACTTAATTTGAAGTCTGGATTCACATAATGGCTTTGTGACTATGAGAGGAAATATGGCGGCTGAGGATACAGATGATGCAGATGATGTCAGAAGATGTAGGAGAGACAAGACCTGGCCCCATGACTGCTACAGAGCTAAAGAGCTTTGTTTGTCAATTCATTGTCAGGTAAAATGCTGTTCTTACTTAGTGTGGAGGCATTTTGAGGAGAATTTCTAGTTTCCAATTTGTATATATGTTCAAAGTTAGTTAAGAAAAAAATTTGGCTATTCAGTTAAATAATTATTTCAGGTGAACACTGAAAGCTACATATAATGGTATTAGTCCTGTGGAACACTGGGGGTTTTTTTGTTTATTTGAAATTTAAATCTGACTAGATACTTTGCTTTTTAATTTCTTTTGATAGTGTTTCACTATGTAGTCCTAGCTGTACGAAGCTAATTAAGTATACCAAGCTGGCCTGGAACTCACAGGGATCCTCCAGCTTCTGCCTTCTGAGTGCTAGAATAAAAGTATGAGTTACTGTATTCAGCAAATACTTGTATTTTATCTATCTGGGTATTTTAAATATACAGTACAGTGGAGGTTACCCAATTCAGCAAGGAAAAGCTTTTTTTTTTTTTTTTGTCTTATTGGGCATGTGCTTTCAGAAGAGCAAGGTAAGATTGTATTTCATAGCTTGAAGATGTGTGCTTGACATAGAGCCAGTAGGAAACGACCAGTCTGTATTCCTTCTTGGAGCCTTCCCGAGGACTGCACTCAGATTTGAGATGCTGTAATGGAGGCTAACAGTGGAAATCGGAAGACAAACCTTAGTTAGAAACTAAAATCTAAGCTGCTCCCTTAGTAGCTGCATGTGTAGTCCTGAAGAAGTCAGTTGCATCTCAGTGTCCCATCATGGTTCTGAGAAGTTCCTGTGTCATTGTGGGAAGCTGCCATTATGTTATGTACATGAGACTTGCTTTAAAACAAAACAAAACAAAACAAAACAAAACAAAATCCTATTAGCCTCTTTTGGCTGATGATTGTGAATACCGGTCTTTATGGCCAGAAACCAGCAAAACTCATTCATTCACACCACTGAGCACCTCTCCTGTTCCTTCTGCCCTACTCTGAGCAGAATGGGTAGGACAAGCTATGCATAAGTGAAATGTCTTGTGCAGAGAAGAGCCTGTGCCCATTTTTCTGCATGGCTGAGTTTTGCTTTTTACTCGGGAGCTGATAAGAGAGTGCTTGTAAATGTAACTCTTACTCATGTTATTACCATTAAATAAACAGAAAGGAACACTTTTGCCTCTTCTCAGCAGGCAGGGACTTACATTTTTAATATCTACAGCAGGAGGGAGGTACTGTAAGTGCCACACACTCAAATAATACTTAATGCAGCATGCAGTGCCTTAGAATGGGTTCCTGCCTTCCGGGCAATGAGTAGAATATGCATTCTTAATACACCACTCCCTGAGTAGAATATGCATTCTTAATACACCACTCTTTCCTCAAATGGTGACGGTGCCCATGTAGTGAATGTTGGTTGAGAAAATGACAGAGCCTACAGAATGACAGCTGTGATGCTCATTCTGGAGAGGGAGGGAAACTGACTACCATCAAGTAGCCCATGAGCTGCCTGGTAGGAGACCCTGCTCAGGCTGTGGAGGCAAAATGGGAGTAGAGAAGTTGCAAGGGGTATGGTCACATTGAGGCCATTACGACTGCCCTGTACTGCAGGGTTTTAAAAGTGTTGAGGTTTCTCATACTGCAGCGGATGAAGCTCCTGAAGACCATTTGTCAGGAGCACCTGAGAAATAACTGCAGCTGGTTTCTTCTCACTTATTAGAGAGTGCTTGTGAATGTGGGATACACTCTATGCTCACCAACCAGCCAGCGAGGGATTTAGTCCTGCTCCACCTGAAGCAGCTCGCCTGCTCATTTGAGACTTCCACCAAACCCAAGTAGATTTTTAAACTTAACTGCACACTAAAGTTGTCTTTGGAGTTTTGAAATTAATTTCAAGCTAAGGCCACACCTTTGGAGACTGACTTCAGTGTGCTGAAGTCCACCAGTGCTTCAGGATTTTTCTCAAAGCTCACTAGCAGTGATCCTAACACAGGGACTTTGACAACCGCTGAACTGTTGTACTAGACCAACAGCTGGGATTCCAGACAGTGGCATGGACTCTGATTGGAATAAGAGGTGATGTTAAACTATTACTTTGGCTTTCTTTTGGTTCCATATTCCTTACTTACTCTAGAAAGAGAGGATAAATGTGCTTCTAAAGCAGCATTTTTATCTGTTTCACTATTTCATCATTCTCGGATAGGTGACCAATCTTCTAACAATGGAAGGGGTTTTCGTTCTGAGACATGAGCATTGTTGGCATTCCTTTTCTCCGTTTTAATGCCAAAGCCTCCCCTCTATGAGGAAATTTCCATATCTTGCAGGAAGTGTGTGGCACCAGCAGCATTTGGATGGTGGTTTGTTTCAGTTGCCTTCCCCGTGAATCAGGCAGCTGCCTTCACTTGTGAACACACTCTTTCTTAGCTCCTCCCCACAATTCCAGAAATCACTGTGTGACTGGAATGGGAGTCATCTGATGGACGCTTTCCTTGCCAGTCTCTGTGGATGGCTGTACTTCTTGTATGCTTCTTAGGGCTGGTTGTCTTAGGATTTGCTTAGGAAGAATGTTAATAGCTTAGCCCTGGGCATCCACATTGTCTCATGGTGTTGACCTCAGTTCCAACCAATTTAGACTATGTCTCCTTGTCACTTTGGTCACAAGGCAAGCAGGTGATGATAGACACACACTACAGCTGCAAATTGTACTGAAGACTCTAGTTATTAGTTTTTCTCAAAGATGTTGCTTGGGTCTCATGTAACACATTTATCGGTGAGGTTTTATTTGCTGGTTAGATGTGGGAACAAATGATCACAGCAATGTTTGCTATTGTGAGGGATAAAACACAATCTCTTTTGGGGAGCAACATGATCCGATCCAGCAATCTTAATTTTTTAGTATGAAATTTCTTACTTCTGAGATAGAAGCTAGGTTTGGAGAGATTCTTTGTGGTTATCATGATACTTCCTGAATTTCTAGTTTTAAAAACAATACTCACTACCCTGTGTGCGTATTGAGATATATCACCAGTTAGAACACAGTCAACATTACCCTATTAAGAGAAAATCAGGAAAGTTTGGATTACTTGTGAATGAATTAATTTGTTTTTTTTTCCCCTATCTGAATTCTAAGCCTGGATAGAGATACAGTTATGGCTTTGCAAATATCAGTGGAGTGGGAAATATATATATATATATATATATATATACATATATATATATATATATATTATATTTTGGGGAGTGAAAGAAATATATAATTTGATTGTAGAGTGAAAGAAATCAATAAGGATCACAGGGCACCACGTTAATGACAAGTCACAGGAGGCGGCTCCATAAAGGTTGTGAAAACTAGCCTCTCATTGCAGGAATTGGGTTGGGCCACCCCTGGCCCCCCTTCTCAAACACAAATATTTTCATATAATAAAAGCCTGTTTCCTTATGCTTGTAACTCAGCCTCCACTCCAGCGACGCCACCATTGTAAAGGGATTTGTTGCGAGGATTCCTCCAGCTTTGCAGGTTTATTTATTTATTTATTTAATTTTTATCTCTCCAGCATTCTATCTTGCAGAAGTGAAGAATCCCTCTGGGGTGTCACTCTGGGTGAGAGGGACAAGAAACACCCACTAGGACCCAACCCGGGCAGCCAGCGGCCGAGCATGCGCTAAGAGTTTGTGCAGCTGGCCCTGGTTGCCACGGCTGCCTCTCCGGACTTGGCGAGGACTTGGGAGGGACAGCGGCGTTGGGAGGTGGCTTAGCAGAGACTTTCCAGCGACTGCTGCCCGGGACTTTTTTTTTTTTTTTCCCCTTTTCTTTTTCCCAGGAGTCAGCGACGGCGACGGCTGGGGAGAGTAAAGACAAGGAAGCGTCTGCTGCTGGAGCCAATGCCGCCCTTTGGCTCTCGAGGAGGAGCGTTCCTGCCCGGATGAGTGTCCGCCGTGTGTCCCCGACTGTCCCCCGGCGGGAGCGCGGCTCGGAAGGTGAGTGGCCACAAGTCCTGCATCTCTTCTGCCCGCCGTCCCAGCAGCCCGCCCGAGAGGCTTCTGCGCTGCACGGTGCGTCCTGCCGGGGGCGCGCAGCCGCGGTGGCTTTGCCTGACCGCGCGGGCTTTGTGCTCTGCGGGCGGACGGCGGGGGACCCCAGGGTCGCAGCGGCGAGCGGGGCCCCGAGGTTGGGGTGGAGTGGGCTGAATGACCTGCCCGGAGTGGGCACAGCGGTACCAGACTTGATTCCCCGAAGTTCCCTCCCTGCCACCCCGCCCCGGGCTCATGCTTTATTCCTGGACGAAAACAGTGTTTCTTACATTCTCCCAAAGAAACCCGAGTCCCGGGGCGGAATCCTAGTTCAGCGCTGCGCCCCCTGTGGTCCCCCGAGTTCACACACGGGCTGTGCGATCGGGTGGTGGGGTGGGGAGCGCGGAGCTCTGTGTGTGTGTTTGTGTGTGTGTGTGTGTGTGTGTGTGTGTGTGTGTGTGTGTGTGTGTGTGGGGCACGTGTGTGTGAACCTCAGAAGGCACTGGGCTCCATCCCCAGAACTGGCACTGGGGACACTGGAGCAGGAAGAAGGTTGTAAATCCCAGTCCAGCTGTGGGGGAATGGGGGTAGCAGTGGAGCCTGTGGCATCTCCAGAGATGTGAAGGTTTGTAACATTTAGGACAGTTGAGAGCAAGCTGTCTCCTGGGAGGGAGCAAAGAAAGTCTCAGAATACAGAAGGCCGCGCCGCAGGTCTCCTGGGAACCAGTTTACTGTGCACCTTCATTCATCCTGAGAGTCAGCCTTTTCTCTCGGCAGCAGGTGTTATCTGAAGCCACGTTAGAACTTTTGGGAGTTTTGTTCCCTTTATGACTCTAACAAGTGACTTTTGATGAGACGATGTCTCGAATAAACTAGGCTTGGGGATTCTGGGGACCCATCTGAAGGCTAGCAGAATACAGGGCTGGCAGAGGGGCGCACTTGCTGTGAAGTTAGTTCTCTGCTATACCCGACCCTGAAGACCGTGGTTGCTTCTTTGCCTGGACAGGTAGGATGTGGTGAAAGGATGGGGCTTCTCCCTCTGGAGATTCACAATGGCCAGAGAAGATTCCGTGAAGTGTTTGCGCTGCTTGCTCTACGCCCTCAATCTGCTCTTTTGGGTAAGTTTACAGTTTCACCATCCCAGCAGGTGGGCATGGCTGGACCCAGTTTTCTGCACCACTAGAGAAGGTGCCAAGGGGTATGGCTCAGCATTAATTAATGACGTGGGATCACATCCTCTGTTTTTCAGAGAAGTAAAATTTGACCTTCTTAAAATGCCTTTGATCTAGCTCAAGTTCCATCTGTAATTAGAAAAAAAAGTCCGCTCCTGTCTACAAGTGCCAGTAACATTAGACATGAAGCCAATCTAAGGATATAAATAAAGGCACGCGCTTGTACTCTGGTAGATAAGACAATTATGACATAGGTCCCAGACACTGCTAGTTTGCAGGACTTTTAGATAACTTTGCAAGCCTTACAACTTTTCTTTACGTCTGAGCCTATAAAAACTGGTTGGGACAGTCTTCATATCCCTTTAGAAGCTTTCATACCTAGAGAGTGTATCAAAAGTCTGGATAGGTTTTTAAAGGAATTCCATATAGTCTAAAAGGTGGTTTCCATGTAACTATTTCTAAGTTGGGATGTGTGAAGAGTTTTATGTATGCTTTTGGAAAGAAAAGACAGCCATTTAAAGATACAAAATACATAAAATTTAACAAGCCCATGGAAATGATTCTGTATGAGTTACTGACACATCATACTTTCATAAAGTGTTAATATATTATTTATAATGCTAAGGAAAATATAAATATTAAAACTGTGACTGCTACTTCAGAAGTCTGTCATGCTTGAGCAAATTCCCTTTTGCCACTTTTATTTCCTTTCAGTAATTTATATTCAATATTTCCTGCTGGAAATTTTAGTGTGCAGTTTATTTCTGTGTCTGTCGTCTGCCTGGCATTGGCCAGCCCCCTTATTTTATATCTGGTCTCTGGAGAGTGGCTTTTTTGTTAAATGGCTCTTTTAGGATTGACACCATTCTAAGATGACAGATGAAGTTGTTAGTAAGTCATCTGAACAATATCCAAAATGACAACTTTTAAAAAGTCAGTATGAAAATTAAAGCATTGAGTAGTTACATTCAGTGTTTGGAAATAGAAAATCATTAATCAATCTTACCATGCTTTTCAATTCTAAAAGGACACATTTTAAAGCGGGTCATGAAATTGCCGATTTAATACCACGTATTAAGACTCTGAGCTCTGTTTCTTCTAATAATGTGTAATTATTACTCTTATTGCTAGGTTTTGACTTGCCTACATTAGGCAGTCTAGTGTCATATTTGTTACTGTTACAGTTTCTCACTAAAGGACCTTTATGGAAGGCCTGGTTGAACTTCCTTTCTTTGTAAATCAGGAAATTGAGAGCAAGTTAAATGGCATGTCAGAGGTCAGCTATTCCCATAGTGGTGCCAGGGACAGGACTAAGCTCTCTGGCACCTAAACGATGCCTTTAACAGGCAGCCTTTACTCACCTCTGAAATCTCCCCATTAATAAGATCTTTTGTTTGTTGTCCAACGAAAAAACAAAGCACTCCGGGGATTTCTTAATATTTTTTTCTATTGGGGAAAAATACCCAAATCATTCTGTAAAGATATTGCTCTTCTGAATAATAAAATTTGCTTACCCCCCCACCCCACACACACACCTTGCCTTAACCATTTGCAGTCCCCTTTATGCTACCAGGGACTGCAAAATGTTATTCTTTTACTGTTAGCCTGTCCTTCAACTTTCTGACTGTGGGAGTATGTATGCCCTGATTTGCTGTTTATCTAGGTTGCTACCTGCTCTGTCTCCAGCCCTCCTCTGCTCCCTCCAATATCTCCTCTGTAACAATCCAGTATGCTCCCACTGTATTTTAATTTGTTTTAGACTAAAGTACCATTTCCTTATCGATACCCACATGTACCTATTCATATACATGCATGACTTCCTATTTCATTGTTTTTGTAATTGTCGTCAACACGAGATTGCTTATACCAAAATATATGTGATGACAGTAGTAACACAAAGACAAAAATGTAGCCAACATCAATAAAATATTAAAATACAACCTATACAAAATAGCTCATATGTGGTTATTATGTATTTGACAGGTAAACTTAGAGCCTTGGTTTTCCAGTTTTTAAAATAGATAGAACAGTTCCTGTATTTTTAGAGCTGTGGTGAGCATTTAGAACAGAGGCACATAGCGAGCGCTGTCTATTTAGAAGCTGTGGCCAGTGATCTTACCACAATCTTGCTAATCTCCTCAAGGAGACAAACAGGAAGTGGATTGCTACTATTCCTGGTAGTAGGAGTGGTGATTATTATTGTCCTGATTAGAACTGCTGTTACTGCCGTCACTACCACTATACTTTTGATCCAGTAACCTTGTTTTGGCATTCTACAGCTTAGAAATAAAGTCATTAATATACCTTATAATTTGTACGAAAGTGTCAGTTGCCACTTTGTTAGGAATGTTGTGCTTTTCAGTTTTGGCCAGTCTGAAAATTTAAAGTATTATGTTATTATTACTATACTTCCTACCTCTCCTGCAAGAATTACCACCTGCATATATATTTACACATATTTTTGATGCACTTTCTCTTATACTTACATTCATTGCCTATTTTGTCCTTATTGAAGTTTCCCTCTTGCTTGGTGATTTTGTCAGTTGTTACACAGTAGTGAAACACATTTTTATAATTTTTTTATACAATTTTTTTGTAGATGGGTATATGTTCTTTTATAGCACTGACACTTTTTGTCTTGGCTATTTTTCTTTTTCCAGATAGACTTTAAGATTGTTTTTCAAAGTGTGAGTGTGTGTGTGTGTGTGTGTGTGTGTGTGTGTATGTGGGTCTGCCAGGGCCATGGCTTGTAGGTGGACACCACAGGGTGATTTTGTATCATCAATACCCTTCTTCTACCTGTATGTGGATTTAGTTGAACCCAGGTATTTAGGTTTGTGTGGCAAGTCTTTCCCGACTGAGATGTAGTGCCAGCCCTAAGATTTTTCTTTCATTCAGTTAAAAATATCCATGTTGCAATATTGCTCTTGCTTGCAATCCTACCAGTGGAAAGGCTGATACAGGAGGATTGCCTTGAATTCAAATTCAGCCTGGTTAGGTAATGAGGTCTAAGCTAGCTCTTGGATGCAAAATGAAACTTTGTTTCAAAAATAAAACAAATAGCTGGTAAACAAACAAACAAACAAAACAAAACAACCCTTCTGAAATATTTGTTAAACTCGGTTATGGAATGATTATTCTAACTTTGGGAAAGCTTGGCAATATGTTTTAGAGAGAAAAGAAAATATTTTCCTTTGTGACCAGCTTTTGGTCTGCCCCATGGCGTGTATCTTCTCTCCAGTTTTCATCACACACCGTACACAGGCTTCTTTCTTCCTCCTTCCCTTTTTAATGATGTTTTTAATAAAGAGAGCAGTGCTCAGATGAGCCCAGCAACTTAGTAACGCTCTCGGAAGCATCAGAACAGGAAGTCCAGGTCCAGCATTGTTTATTTATGCATATGTAGAAAATAGAAAAGTTATACTGCTGGGAACCATGCTGAATGCACTTGCAGTGATGATCCTGTGGGAAAGGATAAGCTATCCACCTGCTCTTTCCACACCCTCTAGCTGCCTCTCAGTCCACAGAGTGCAGGAAAATCACCTGGGTGTGCTGCTAAACTTCAGGCTCAGCTCGTGTGTGTGTGTGTGTGTGTGTGTGTGTGTGTGTGTGTGTGTGTGTGTGTGTGTGTGTGCGCGCGAACGTGCGCATGCTCACACAAGTGTGCTGGAATTGAACTGAAGGCCTTGGACGCGCCAGGCAAGTAGTCTGCCACTGAATTATATCCCTAGCTCTCAACATGTTGATGAAGTTTCTCTGTCACATATTTGGTCTGAGCTGTTAACCTTTCTTCACCAGTGCTGACTTCTAGTTACCATTGGCATTACAGAGAGGACAAGCAGATGTGGTATCTACATCCCTTTTCCTAAATCAGACTTCACATCCTGATGATGGAAAGGAGCCTCTCTCTCTCTTTTGCAAGTTGACACGTCTTCCCTTGTTACCCACAGGACTCCAAAGTAGAACCTTCTATGCTTCATATCTTAAATTCACAAATTCATTCTTTTATGTATCGTATTGGCACTCAATTTTTTTTCTTCTGCAGAAAACAATACATCCTAATTGGGAAAACATAACCCATGTAATTTTTGTTTCGCTATCCTTAGAATTGAAAAGTCTTTAAGGCAAAGCATAGGTCTTGAGTATTTAACTTTTGTTAAGTATGAGGTGTCAATGTGTTTAAGAGGAACCAATCCACAGGTCCTCAGACCCCAGCACTCTGCGTTCTCTTCATTCCTTAGGAGCTGTCTCATCTGACTTGTCATGTGTTGAGTGTCTTCTACATTATGAAGAAGCTTGACCCTGCTGTGACTGCACAGGGACAGAGGATAGACTCTGGTTGCCTGGTGTTGCATGGGTGTTGTGCAGCTGTGTGGGCGCAGCACATAGGAAGTGATTGATACTGGCTCTCTTCTGCTGAGTGCCCTCTGGAGAAGATGATGCTTCTTACTGGGCAAGATGCTGAAAGGGCAGGGATTATCTTTATCTGAAGCATCACACTCTTCCTGTTCGAAGGACACATTACTTAAAAGAAATGAAAGCTTTCTTCTGTTTTAAAAGTGACTTCTGTAGTTTTCTGATATGGTACTATTCTTAGGTGATATGTGCCTGTGCCTGTTATTATAAAGAGGAATAGTATGATTTTTTTGAAAGTTTATGAAAATGGCAGATAGTTTGTATTTCACGATTGTGTATTTGTTTGTATTTTTCTTAAAGTGTGATACCCTTTCTGTAATGCTTAGTTCCTTTTTGCACTTACAATATGAGTGTCATTGGTGTTGGCTTACCATTTTAAAAGATGCTAATGGTAAACTTTTCCTGATTCAACATGAATAGAGACCTAGAAGAACTAAAAGGTGAACAGCAAATCTTGTTTATGGTTTAGGAATGGGCTGTGGATGGATGAAGCAACAGGAGGCATGGAAGGAATTCTCCTTGTTTTATCT